GATAAAATTAAAGAATGGTTGACAAAGGAACATATACCATTTCCTCAATATATATTAAAATCAGAATTATTACGCTTGGCAAATATACACGCAAAACCAAAAACCTTTGTTGTGGATCAGATTATTGAAAGTTACGGTCATCAAGTTTTACGTCTGCCACCGTATCATTGCCAGTTTAATCCCATCGAATATATATGGGGAATAGCAAAACAATATTATGACAAACATATTGGGCCTAATGGTTATAGTGACGACGCAGTTCGGGAAACTTGGCGAAAAGTACTTTCAATTGCAACTCCAGAAGTGTGGCGGAACCGTATATCCAAGTGCGAGAAACTAATAGAAGATTGGTGGACTCGTGAAAATAAAATAAACGAAATAAGTCCACTCATAATAACAATTATTAATGGTGATGACAGTGATGATGATGATGACGATTATGATATTCTGGATGATGATAATAACTGATTTTCATTTCTGTTGGAAAGTTCAATTTTTTTATTTTTCATTTGAAATTCTCTACATGGAACAAATTTTTATGTTAGAAAATATTTTATTTGAGTTAAATAACCCTCTTATTATACATAGACCATATTTTCTGTGTTCAGTGTAATATAAAATTATTATTAGACTCCATTAATGAAGAAGTTTAATTCTGCTCTCAATTATACAAAAGATTCTCCATTATTATTTAATTAAAAAGTTGTACATTATTTTTCATTTCATTTAACCAGTTGATATTTCAACAAAGAACCGGTCAAACTTTCGGGTACTTACCTGGAAATACTCATAAAATTTTTAATCCGAAACCATCGTAAGTATAGCGAACAGACTGTATATAGATTCAGGTGAAGCGCTTTGATCTCCCTGTACTCACTTTTAATGAATTGTATGTTAGGCAACTCTAGCACTGAACCACTCAATGTTCTATTTAAAAATACATACAAGGTTTTAAAAAATATCAATTAGTTTGCCCTGCAGGACGTCACTGACTAATAATTTTAATCTAATCAGAGTAATCAAGTTAAAATTATCTTTTAATGGTCACAAATAAACCTGATAAGTTTTTAAAATCATTAAAAGAATGTTTAGGATATTAATGAAAAATGTTTTTTTTTTTAATTTTACTACCTGTAAATAAAAAAGCAATTTAGAGCACACGTGTATATGAAATTTTAGTCATCAAGGAATGACCTTCAATATTTACATGATACTTACCCATACAGCACACATTATTTCTGAAGTGTTTCAGAAATATTTCAAGCACAAGTTTCTGAAATATTTTAGTTAAATATGTCACTGAAAATGTTTCTGTAACATGGTATACATGGTACACAAAAGGTTACTAAACGGGTTATGTGAAAATTTCTGATGTATAAGAAGAAGATGGGATATGTAGTTATTTTATTTCATTCTATGTCCCTGTCCAGCCACCAGCAAGAAACAAGCCTATAATTATGGTCGTTATAAGTAAAAGTACAAGTAAAAAGAAGATGGAATAGTCTCGAAATGTCTGGAAATGTCATTACCCGTCAAGAATATTCTAGATGACAGTTCGAGAAGGGTCAAGCAAGCTATATAAGCATGATCCTGACGTCAGTTTTCAGTTTTATGATAGACGTTACACGTTAATGTTATCAGTTGCATTGTTATTGTTTAAGTTCAGTTGAAATAAATTGTGATACCAAAAACCTGCGTAACATTGGTGACAGCAGTGGAATACAAAGTAGAAGTTCATGGTAAATACTAGATCCACTGAGTACAAAGCAGGCATGGGCACTTCAGGCCTACCAGCATGGTTTTTGAAGATGGAAGAGGAGAGAGTAAGGCGAGAAGAGGAAAAGGAAAGGCGTAGGAAGGAAGAGGAGGAGAGAGTAAGGCGAGAAGAGGAAAAGGAAAGGCATAGGAAGGAAGAAGAGCAGGAAAAGGAAAGGCGTAGGAAGAAAGAGGAGGAGGAAAAAGAAAGGCGTAGAAAAGCTGAGGTAGAAATTATGAACGGTTTGCTGCAAATTCAAGAAAACCTTAAGCAAGAGGTAGGTAGCTAAACAGCCGAGTAGACCTCTTAACACAACAACAAGATAATTTAAACGCCAATTTAGAATAGCAGCAAGAGAATCTAAAAACCAATTTGCAGAACCTAAAAACGAATTTAGAGCAACAGCAAGAGAATTTAGAACATCAACAAGATAATTTAAAGACTAATTTAGAATATCAACAAGAACATACTAAAATAGAGTTGGAAAGGCAAATTAGAGTTGAAATGGCCGAGTTAGAGAGAATAATTCGTAGCCAAGTTTCCGTAAGCAACATTCAAGCTGAAAACACTGCCTGATCATCATCTGTAATCGACCCAAGCCGTATTCAAACCGCAGTCTTACAAAATTATAGTAGCAAGACCCTGAAACCACCCATGTTTGATGGTCAGACAACATGGAAAACATATCGACTCCAATTTGAAGCTGCAGCTAGAGCCAATGGCTGGGCCGAGAATAAAATTATTGGTAATGAATCTGTATCTGTAACGTGCGGAGGGTAGGTTACCCCCACGGCACTTAGGCCTCACTAGGCCCATTGTAAATCCTCCTAAGATGATAGGCACCTCCTAGCTAGTGAGCCAGTCTACAGATTTAATGTAGTTGACAACGTCGCCAAGAGGTGCTTCTCTTATATTGGCCGGTGTTAGCTGATACTCGCCGAACACAATTTTTTTAATAAATAAGAGCGTCGAGCAATCGTAAAGGATATGCTCCATGTTCTCATCTTCTTGTTCACACCCTCTGCAGAGTGCGGATTCTGACAGCCCAATGATATGGAGATGCTTTCGTACTTGGCATTGACCAGTCAGAATGCCTGTGACTAGGCGCAGATAACTTATGAGCTCCCTGGCAACTATACAGTTTCTTTTTTCATCCCATCTATCCTTGAATTTCATAAGGGAATGTTCTTTAATTAGGTCTGTCACTACCGATTTTGTCTGGCCAATAAAAGGGCCAGGTCCAAAGAGTATTTGGTTGGCTGCTTTTTTGGCTAGTGAATCAGCAAGACGGTTACCTTTCGATGTGGCGTGACCTTTGATCCATCTTAAGCTGACCACATTGTTGATGGATACCTCGGCCAAAGCTTCGTGGCATTCTAGTACTAGCCCTGAGTAAATTCATGGTCTGTTCAGGGTGAGTAGTGCTTGTTTGCTATCTGTATAGATGAGCATGTTTCTTTCAGTGATATTGTTTCTGGTGATTTCTTTTGCTGTTATGAGAATCCCCGTTAGCTCTGTTTGAACTACACTGACACTATTGCTCACAGTCCATTTTATATTTAAGTTTAAGAATCTGGAGTATATTCCACATCCTGATTGGTAATCAAATAATTTGTATAAATCCTTTTTAATTACCTATAATTTGTTTCAGATTAGTGCATTTAAAGGAATTGGTGGAAATGAAGCAATCTGCCAGTTTTAAGGCTGTGCCAGTAAAAGTATCATCCAAGTTATTCAACGTTTGCAGAATAAAGTATTAAGGAACATCGTCGATGCATCCTAGTACTGCCGCAATACTGATCTTTATAGGGACCTAAAATTGGAGACTTGAAGATACAATATAAAAATTTGCCAGTAGTCACCAACAACGACTGCTCCAATATGGAAACCTTGAGATTAACCAGGTCCTCAACAATGCCTATCTAATAAGAAGACTCAAGAGAGAACCAGGCCTTTTGAGTTAGTTCAGAGTTAGATTAAAGCAGAGTATAGTGCAGTTAAGTGTTATACGTTAACGGTGGTGTAACTAAATAATTAGACTCTAAAGTACACTAGTGAGTAGAATCTTAGTTTATGAAGTTTTTCATCCCTAGATAAGTTAGGTAAAAATAAAATTGCTCATTGATCTTAATAATTAGATTGTAATAATCGTAAATGTTTCTTTATTTGATGCAATTATTAAAAAAAACTAGTTGTTTCAGATTAGTGCATTTAAAGAAATTGGTGGAAATGAAGCAATTCACTTCTATATTTTATGAGATATTGTTTAAAACTTATTTATTTGTTTAATAATCAATGTTTGAATTTTACGTATTTTAAATAAACATGTATATTTTTAAATGTCTTTTTTTAGTCTAATAATATTTAAAAAAAATAACTAGAATACATTTCGGAAATATTACTATTAAATATTTCTAAAAGATTACAAATTTTCATTTTCGAAATGTTACTGTGAAATATTATGTTTACAGGACATTTTTACGTTTCAGGCACATTTCAGAAATGTTTCTGGGATGTTTCGTAATATTTATACATTACAAATGTTTCAATGTAACATTTTTTAAATATTTCCAAAATGTGTTTGTGCTGTATGGGTAGGAATGCCCTGCGCATAATATGGATTTTCAAAACAAAGTTTATAAAAATTACTAGAACAAAAGTTCCGGTACTTTTAACAAAACCACAATTCTATTTTAAGATTTAACTACCAAAAAATGCAAATTAAGTAATTTAATATTCATTTACAAGTCTGGAATGTCTTGTCGTCACTTTAATATAAATATAACAGTGCCGAATTTAAAACAAACTTCTATAAAATGATATTATTGCAATAACGACTTACCTAGTTAAGATAAAAAAAAAAATAAAATCACATTTCACTAGCACAGATAACTGTCACAACACAAGTGGATTCTATCTAAAACAATGGAATAATATAAAATAATGTTACACATGTGGTTATCGGAATTTCAAGTCAGTTATCAGGTACCAGCAGGCGGTGGCCAACCTGGGCGATCTTGGATTGAAATTCTGGTTTTCACGGTCACGATTTTATTTTACAATACTAATAATTATAATTAAGTTTTAAGTACCTATCATTCATAAAAATTTCGCATAGTTAAGTTATTCATTATCTATAATTGATATTAGGTACTTTAAATGGAAATATTACGAATGCTAGACGATTTTATTTGTCGTTATCGTTAAAAAAACACATTTTATATGAATAATATAAACTTTGTACTTTGAATTTTTTCATTGGTTGTTCTTCAAAATCGGCTGAGTAAGTGAAAAAATGTAAGGATATCCACGTAAATGTGGAAACACTAGAACTGAAGAAAGGCTGACTAGAACTTTTGCAAGTTGAATTTAAAATGAAACAACTGAAAGAAGCACTTCGTATTTTTATCGTATAAACCTCTTTGTATTTATATTGGTTATGTTTTTTTTAATTCTCACTATACAGGGTGCTTCGAAAATTGAGTCTTTATTTTTAATGAGTATTTACTCGTATTTGGATAAAGGTAAACCTTTCAATGCCGCCCTGGAAAGGAGGGAACCCCCTAAAGCAAGGTATTAGGAAAATAAAATGTCCTAGAAAAATGTAAAACTTATAATAAAGTCAAATATTGTTAATAATGTTTTGTTCCATAATTCGGGTAATATTGTTTATTCCATAGTAAACATAATATTATAATATACATGTTACGGTCAAAGATGATATTTCGGTCTTTAACGATATTGGCTAGTCATTGTCGTAAATCTTCTATTTGATTGGGCATAATTGATAATAACCGGCCAATAACGTAAACATCCGCTTAAATTGGACAATGTTGATAAACTATAAATGACATAGCTTTTTTACAACTCTGCCCGGGCGTTATCGTTAGCGTGGGCCGCAAATCGCAACGATTTAGATTTGAATAAAATACAGGGTTATGTTTCTGTTTACATCGCTATTTTCTGGCTTTCCGCGCGGGCGATTGATTGGATATTTCCCCCATTATTTGTACACCATAATTCTAACCTAACTTCATTTCAGATGATGGAATGGAAGACTTGAGTATTTTTCTGTAGTATTTTATAAACCTCAGAAGCAAATTTCACATACATGATCAAATAATAATAATAATGCCGTGACAACAAGAAGACAAAGCAACGACTTTTCGTAGGGTGGCGGCTTCGCCGCCACCAGAAAATTTCAATAGCTACGCCGACCGGCATAAATACCAACGGCCTGAACACAGCTCACCTACTCTGTCAAAAGGAGACCGATGTACAAATAAAGCGCGTACATCCGATGTACTCAATGACATATATAGTATATATAGACTGCTTATCCATATGTAAATAAAGCGATGAAAAGCGGGTCGAACTGGGAGATGTTTTCTCTTTGTCTAGTACATGCAATGTTTGTGTTTTGTCTCAATTGTAAGTGCTCACTGGTAAACAAACCTTATACAGAACCGGTTTAGAATAACGTTTAGTTTAATTGAAATTTTGTTGTCACTGTCATTGCTCAGTCAAACATTTTTTTGAATTGTTCATTTTATTAAATTTTAATTATACTTATGTTCTGTTTTAAGTTTTTTTAATTAATTGAATATAAAAAATTGTTTTGTTTTTGAATTTAAATGGCGAATTGCTCTATAAACCTGCTCTATAAGATAAGCTATAGAAATATAAAAAGTAGCATTTTATTTTTCACGTAAGTATCAAATCAAGTTACAAGGTAAATACATTTATGAATTATAATAATTATAATAATGATAATATTAATAACAAATTCTTTATTGTAAATACAATTACATAAATATAAATATTATATTTAAAGGCCCGAGTTTTTTTTTTCCTCCTGGGCTCGTCTGACTTGACTATGTGTCTCCGAATAACACTGAATATTGGCTTATTTTTAAGTTTTATTTTAAATTTCTTAATATTAAATGAGCCGACATGTTTTTAAGATTTGACGACTTAAATCATTCAAAATACGACACTTACATACTTAAATAGAATATGTAAAAAAATAGATGTAATATTTTGAATCAATTTTGTGCATAATAAAAAAGTTTTCAATTTTTTGCAAACTTTAGTATTACCCAGAAAGAACTGCGATAGCTTTATAAAGAGCTAGCACGCCTTAAATTCTACTCTATTTACGCCGACAGATGAAATATGTCTGACAAAAAGGATTATATCCTTAAAGAACTCTGTTTTGCAGCTCCTAATTCTGAATTAGAAAAACATAAGTAAGCTGCAAGCTATAAGTAGTGCGAGTTTATTAATCATGTGTGTAAAAGAGACATTTTAAATTTAAATTAGAAAGAAATAAAAAAAGAATTTGTTAGAGGGTTTATGGCATGTTATTCCCAAAAAATAACTGCATACTTGCAGAATTAACAAGGAAAGACAAGTTGATCTAGCAGTTTAAAAGAAAATATAGAATAACAGGTTCTCGGTGTTATGATCTTAATACTTACACTAAAGACACTCCAAAAATGATTGTAAACAGATAAATAAAGTGAACTTTTATTGATATTAAATCCTTTATTTGAATACATAGACATTTAAAAAAAATGGTTAATGGTTAACAAGATATTTAGTATTATATACTGTCTTAAATTGATATGTTTTAGATTTGTTCTACATAGAATTGAGCATGAAGGTGAGGCTCGACAGACATGCATAAATGCAACTAATGATATTATTATTGTAGAGGAGACAGGGTTGATTATTTCAAAAACAAACATATTAAAATACTAAACAATAAAGGTGAACTCATAAAATTATTAGAAATCAAATGTCCATTTATAGGTTTGTTATTTTGTACATTATTTTTATAATAATATCAAGAATTATGCATTTTTTGTTACATTATCAAATACTTAAATACACTTCAAAATCGTACGTTTAGGAAAGCAGAATTTTACAAATCATGTAAATATTTAACTATAAATGTGAAGAATTAAGTTATTAAAAAAAAAACACCAATATTATGGTCACATTCAACTGGGTATGGCCATTTTGAATTTGCAAGAATGAATACATTATAGGTATTCCAGCAAATTTAAAAAAATTAATTATAACTGTTAAATTTGATAATATAAGAGGTATGTTAATTGCACATCGTTTTTATAAGATGTTTAATGTTTATACAGGAGTGTAAAATTGTTTAGATCTCTTAAAATGTTTTGGAAATATGGAACTAAACTTTAAGACTTAATATTCTTTTTCAAAATACCTAACCAAGCTCCTGTCTTGAAGTAAACATTCAGGTAATTATTATTTTTAATTCAATTCCTACTTTAATGAAATATGAGTTTTACACTCATTTGGGCCAGACCGATTCTGCCTGGTGAGCACTCGGCAAGACGAGCAATATGACCCGCTTTTCGTTGTCTTGTTTATATATGGATAAGCAGTCTATATAAACTATATATGTCATTGGATGTACTGCTAGTCACTGTCAAAAATTTTAAGTCACAGTACCAACACTACCAACTTAATTCTTTAAAATCAACTTCACCCACTTATTGATAGTCAATGTCATTAATGGCCGGACAAAGATGCAAACAAAAAATATTATCAACATTGTCCACGATTAATGGGCATATTCGTTACTGCCTAGATAATAACGATATTGGCCATCAAATATGGCTGCTGACGTTAGTGTCCGGTCAATATCATCAATGCCCAATTTACAATACTGCCCGTAACATATACATTACATATTCAGCACTAAAAGAGCCTAATTCTGTTTGCTGGTCCTCTACGCCAGTCCTTTATGGTCATGTCGTTTAGGTTTCTTTTCACCATCTGTAACCATCTAGTCCGTGGTCCGTATTTCCTTCTTCTACCCCTAGTAAACATAGACGGGTAAAATAAAAATTAATGGAAGGTCTGAACATTATTTGGAGAATCCCCACAACTTGACTGTAGCTCAAAAAAAAAACTGTGAGATCTACACTAGATCGCTTTACCCGTGAACCGTTTAATTTAGTGTACATTCAAAGGTATATACCCAAATTTTTTGTCTTGCAAACCACTTGCCATGTTTTTTGCTTTTGGATAGACCCCTGCTGAGCTATTATTGCATTTTTGAAAATTTATCAACTTCATGTTTTTGACTGATTTCTAACTGTAGTGAGGTGTAGAAGAAAAAAAAACATCAAAAAAACTTTAATTTTTATATATTTATTAATAAAACTGAAATTAAAACGAACCAAAATAAAATTATGTACCTATATATTACATAAAATCAATGAGTAAAAAAACGCTTTTTAGTGGGAAGGATAAAACCCTATCCTCGGCTATCGTTTTCTAAAAAATGTATACGCTTTAGCAACATGCGAGCTATTCGCTAGTCTCGACATTCATTTTAAAAGCGTGTACATTTTTAAAACAGGTGTTTTACAACAAGCGGAATTTTTCACACGTTTTTGATAAAACGTGCATGTTTTCAAGGATTTAGCCAACGTCATTTATGTCTTATATGTCACTTTTAGCATGATTAATAATATTGATTGATTTTAACAAATTTTTGGTAAACTACTTTTTATTCATACCTACAAAAGAATCTAATTTCTTATAAATATGTTAAGCATTATTAAAAAATAGCTAATAGCTAAGAATTTCTTTCAATTATTATTAATTGTACAATTAGAAAACTTAGAAGATAAGAATCCTCAAAGATTCAGACCTGCAGTGACAGAATCCATTTTTTGAATTAAATTTATGTATTGATTGAATATTTTTTATATCTTACCGTGTAAGAATTTAATGATTAATTCATGTATGTTTTATTTACAGATATTAATTTCAGAACAAGAATTAAACAATTCGAATCAAAAACCTATGTACTTCACAAAATATTAGCGAGTACAAATTCACTAAACAGTGTTGCCAGCTGAAACTTATTTTAAAATGCAACCATTGCACTGGTACGGTAGATATATGACTGGTACATGTTGAGATGTGATACTTATTATTCGGAAGTCAGAGACACAACTCATTTATAGAGAATGCAAATTGGCATTAGCACGTGTTCATCCCATTTTCCAACAAGTTTGCGTCGTATCGTTAGGGTTGCGTTCTACTTTTTGTTAGAAATTCTCTGTGATTCAATTAATAAGTGTATGAATAAATTAAATTGAAATGGAAGATTTGTTAGATAGATGGGGCCTCAGCGACCTGATACCAATATTTAAATGTAAGTATATTTAGTTCACTTCTTGTTAGGTATTATATTATATATATGTAAATTTCTAATCACAAGAACACGAAACAAACTGGAATAGAAGTAAAAAAATGTATGATGCGGGATGACGACTTTTTGGAAAGACGACTTCTGCTCTGCCTTGCTAAGACTAGAGGTCGTATCGATTTCAAGATTCT